GGAAGGGGGGAAGAGGGTCACGTCTGTGCCCCTCTTAATCCAATATGGGTGCCATGACCCTTACACAGCCAGGAGGTGCCCTATGACCCCGCACCGAGGCGTCAGGTGTCCTTCCACATCACTCTTGTCCTTCGGGAACTGTTAGCTCCAAGGATCTCAATATATAGACAAGACAACAACAGCATCATCTTCAAGGTATGTTTCACAATGCACAAACAGCTGAGCTGATCTAAATATAACCTCACTTTAACGCACAACCACGAAGTGAGATATCCTGACCCACAGCACTGAAATCAGTGTCAGATTTTACGTCAAATGGAGATTAGATATCGCTGAAGCACTACATATCAAACAGTCTCATCCAACTACCAACAGTCAGATGACAATTAGGTCCGTCCAGGCCAGGGGGCCTCGTAGCCTGGTGGATAGCGCGCAGGACTCGTAATTCTGTGGCGCGGGTTCGATTCCCGCACGAGGCAGAAACAAATGGGCAAAAGTTTCTTTCACCCTGAATGCCCCTGTTACCTAGCAGTAAATAGGTACCTGGGTGTTAGTCAGCTGTCACGGGCTGCTTCCTGGGGTGGAGGCCTGGTCGAGGACCGGGCCGCGGGGGACACTAAAGCCCCGAAATCATCTCAAGATAACCATCTACACGACCAAGACAGAACTACCAGTTCACATCACACCTACTGCTCCCGCCGACCAATGAGAATACAGGTCAAGACGGCTCAGTCCTGTCGACTGGCAACACCTCACCTCGTTCGAAAACCAATTTCGAACAGTTCATTATTTAAGTTTCTTATCAAGTAAGGAATATAAGAATATGGAGAACAAGGGTAAGTGTCCTGGGGAACAAGGGTAAGTGTCCTGGGGAACAAGGGTAAGGGTCCTGGGGAACAAGGGTAAGGGTCCTGGGGAACAAGGGTAAGGGTCCTGGGGAACAAGGGTAAGGGTCCTGGGGAACAAGGGTAAGGGTCCTGGGGAACAAGGGTAAGGGTCCTGGGGAACAAGGGGTAAGTGTCCTGGGGAGCAAGGGTAAGGGTCCTGGGGAACAAGGGTAAGGGTCCTGGGGAACAAGGGTAAGGGTCCTGGGGAGCAAGGGGTAAGGGTCCTGGGGAGCAAGGGGTAAGTGTCCTGGGGGAGCAAGGGTAAGGGTCCTGGGGAACAAGGGTAAGGGTCCTGGGGAGCAAGGGTAAGGGTCCTGGGGAACAAGGGTAAGGGTCCTGGGGAGCAAGGGGTAAGGGTTCTGGGGGAGCAAGGGTAAGGGTCCTGGGGAGCAAGGGTAAGTGTCCTGGGGAACAAGGGTAAGGGTCCTGGGGAACAAGGGTAAGGGTCCTGGGGGAGTAAGGGTAAGGTTCCTGGGGAACAAGGGTAAGGGTCCTGGGGAACAAGGGTAAGGGTCCTGGGGAGCAAGGGTAAGGGTCCTAGGGAACAAGGGTAAGGGTCCTGGGGAGCAAGGGGTAAGGGTCCTGGGGGAGCAAGGGTAAGGGTCCTGGGGAGCAAGGGTAAGTGTCCTGGGGAACAAGGGTAAGGGTCCTGGGGAACAAGGGTAAGGGTCCTGGGGGAGTAAGGGGTAAGGGTCCTGGGGAACAAGGGTAAGGGTCCTGGGGAACAAGGGTAAGGGTCCTGGGGGAGCAAGGGTAAGGGTCCTGGGGAACAAGGGTAAGGGTCCTTGGGGAACAAGAGTAAGGGTCCTGGGGAACAAGGGTAAGGGTCCTGGGGGAGCAAGGGTAAGGGTCCTGGGGGAGCAAGGGTAAGGGTCCTGGGGAACAAGGGTAAGGGTCCTGGGGAACAAGGGTAAGGGTCCTGGGGAACAAGGTAAGGGTCCTGAGGAACAAGGGTAAGGGTCCTGGGGAACAAGGGTAAGGGTCCTGGGGAACAAGGGTAAGGGTCCTGGGGAACAAGGGTAAGGGTCCTGGGGAACAAGGGTAAGGGTCCTGAGGAACAAGGGTAAGGGTCCTGGGGAACAAGGGTAAGGGTCCTGGGGGAGTAAGGGTAAGGGTCCTGGGGAACAAGGGTAAGGGTCCTAGGGAACAAGGGTAAGGGTCCTGGGGGAGTAAGGGTCCTGGGGAACAAGGGTAAGGGTCCTGGGGAACAAGGGTAAGGGTCCTGGGGAACAAGGGTAAGGGTCCTAGGGAACAAGGGTAAGGGTCCTAGGGAACAAGGGTAAGGGTCCTGGGGAACAAGGGTAAGGGTCCTGGGGAACAAGGGTAAGGGTCCTGGGGAACAAGGGTAAGGGTCCTAGGGAACAAGGGTAAGGGTCCTAGGGAACAAGGGTAAGGGTCCTAGGGAGCAAGGGATAAGGGTCCTAGGGAACAAGGATAAGGGTCCTAGGGAACAAGGGGTAAGGGTCCTAGGGGAGCAAGGGGTAAGGGTCCTAGGGAACAAGGGTAAGGGTCCTAGGGGAGCAAGGGGTAAGGGTCCTAGGGAACAAGGGGTAAGGGTCCTAGGGGAGCAAGGGGTAAGGGTCGTTGGGAAGAAGGGGAAGCCTCAGGTGGTAACCTTGTTACATAATCAGTCACTGAATCTGGCAACCAGTGTCATCATCTTGAGGTCATGATGACGGGACCACATGTCCACCAGTTCTCCTGGGAACATGTTGATATGTTGTCATCTTCTTGATTACAACATTCTCACACGGGTCGTCCTCCCAGGGAGGTGACATCCTTACATTCTTGTGCTCGCGGGCTTGTTCAAGCAGGTGGAATTCTTCGTGGTAGCCAATTAATCTCGCCCCTGTCTTTGTCCTACTTCCTTCTGTAATTAGCACACCCTTCAATTACTCCCTTGACATTATCATTAAGTCGAGCCTTCGGCAAACTTCTGAGTATATTCGACATCCAATTGCTTGCTTCCGTTTAAATAGTGGGGAGAGTTACTTGTTGTCGCAGATGCGGGGTTTTGGCAGACTTTGGAACTCTAAGAATGGCAGTCAAGGCCTAATGCTTCTATCTTTTTCATATCGCCAGAGACGAGTAATGACCGCATGAGGGTGCCAAGCCGGGAAGGCAGGATGGCGCCGTTGACAGAGCTAGTCATATAGAGTATCGTTAATAATGGACAGGAGGTCTGTGAAGACCTCTGTCAGTTACGTGTGGCTTAGGGAGTCATATGTTCATGTCAGGTCCTCAGGGTTTCAAGACCTTTGCATCTTCGCAAAGTGAACTTTGGTGAACTTTATATGTCTCATACGAGTTGATAACAGTAATTTTTATCTTGTTCTCTACTGGTGGGACGATTCTAAGTCCAAAATATTTCCTTCTAAGAAGCTGAATTGCCTGTTGTATCTGTACAAATGTCGAGGCTTGTAGCAGGACATTATGTCCATGTACTACTTGCTGTATCAATTCCTGAAGCTCAATATTAGAAAGGAATGCTTTTAAGATGCTGGATAGTGTGTCTTAAGCCTCATTGATGGGTCACAAGTTCTTCTTCATTGTGTTTGAGATTAGTTTGGCAAAAATAATTTTAGCTTTCCTTCCTATGAGATAGTTTTCAATCCGTTGTAGGATCCTTTTTCCTGACGTCCAAGCGTTCAACTCATCTTGGATTTGCTGCTCATTTGAGATCAACAATCACAGAGTACTTGCCTGTATCATTCGCTAAATAATGGAACATTCACTTGGTTGGTTTAATTCTTTAAAAACAACATCCGTCAATCCTTTCCCATAGATGACAACTTATTTTACGTGGGAGATGAGTTAGCATCATCCTTTCGGGAAGTTTATTTGCAGAGGAAGCGAGAATAATTGGCCTGCAGATACCAACACAGGCAGCGTGATATGCATGCGGGAGGCTGGAGAACGTTTGCAACGTCGCCCCCGTCGAGGCCACTAGAGATGGGGGCCCTCAGGTTACTTCAGGTACCCGTCGAGGCCACTAGAGATGGGGGCCCTCAGGTTACTTCAGGTACCCGTCGAGGCCACTAGAGATGGGGGCCCTCAGGTTACTTCAGGTACCCGTCGAGGCCACTAGAGATGGGGGCCCTCAGGTTACTTCAGGTTCGAGGCCACTAGAGTCAGGTTACTTCAAGTACCCGTCGAGGCCACTAGAGATGGGGGCCCTCAGGGCTTGTGTGCCCCGTCGAGGCCACTAGAGATGGGGGCCCTCAGGGCTTGTGTCCCCCGTCGAGGCCACTAGAGATGGGGGCCCTCTGGTTACTTCAGGTACCCGTCGAGGCCACTAGAGATGGGGGCCCTCAGGTTACTTCAGGTACCCGTCGAGGCCACTAGAGATGGGGGCCCTCAGGTTACTTCAAGTACCCGTCGAAGCCACTAGAGATGGGGGCCCTCAGGTTATTTCAGGTACCCGTCGAGGCCACTAGAGATGGGGGCCCTCTGGTTACTTCAGGTACCCGTCGAGGCCACTAGAGATGGGGGCCCTCAGGTTACTTCAGGTACCCGTCGAGGCCACTAGAGATGGGGGCCCTCAGGTTACTTCAAGTACCCGTCGAGGCCACTAGAGATGGGGGCCCTCAGGTTACTTCAGGTACCCGTCGAGGCCACTAGAGATGGGGGCCCTCAGGGCTTGTGTCCCCCGTCGAGTAGCTTGGGATGTGGGTGGTGCTTACTGTGGAGGCCGGCGAACATGAGACGGTGAGGAAGGTGACTGTAATAGGTGTTAGCGAGGGTGTCGTAGCCTCCCTGGCCCTCTCCCACCCTCTCTCTCCCTCCCACCCTCTCTCCCTCCCACTACCACTCTCCCATACTCTCCCACAAGGCTTCACTCACCCCCACCAGCGCCCCCACACCATCTTGCCCCAACGAAATCGTGTTAAAGCGTTCGAGAGCGTGTGAGACTTGAAGTGTAACGGACACAACCTGCCAGAAATACTCTCCTGCTGTGAGCACAGGCCTTTAGCCGCCATGTTGCTCTGTCCAACGTTCAAACAGCTTCAAACCCACCGTTGGATGCCGTCGCGAAAGGCATTGGCGGCGCCCGAATGATTCTGAGGCGGGCGGTGGGCGGTGGGCGGGGTTGTGGCAGCAGGTGGAGTGGTGCCAAGGAGGTGTGGCACAGTGCCTAGGGTCGTTCAGTGTTGCCCAGAAAGTCAGCGCGTGCACAAGGCTCTTCCTCTCTCACTAACAACTCCGCTACACTCGCCCGAAATGAGTTGGCCGTCAGCCTACGGTTACAAGTACACTCCCATCGGCCTCCGCCAGCGGGAGAAGAAGGATGACGCCTCAGGCACGCGTTCCATCTGCACCACCGTCCACCTGCCACAAGGGGGACACCTGCTGGACATCGAGAGGCAGTATGGTATCGATGGATCCATGTCCAAACGGGTGAGTGGATGATACGTGTGTGGTAAGCAACAGTTATATACAGCCGGTGACACCTGTTGGTCGCTGCGAGGCAAACAGGTGCCTACTCTCACACACGCACACACACACACACACACACGCACGCACACATCAAGACCCAAAGTATCCTTCAAGCACACTCTCACTAGCTTCAGATTGTCTGGGCTTCACATCTAACACAATCACATTCTTCAAGACCCTTAAACACCATCAACAAAACGACGATGAAGAATTCATCTCACTCAACGTCTGAGTGTCGTGCTGCCGTCGTGTCTAAGAACACCGTCGTTATGTGTCGCTGAACGACACGTGTAAACACGTCAGAAAATGTATTTTGTGTATTGGAAATGTAACTTGAATATGGAAATGTATTTTCTTGAATCAATGATGAAAAACAGAAAATAAAAATTAGGGATATATAGCCTTTTTGGGTGGTGCTGTGTTGTGATGGGTGGTGCTGTGTTGTGATGGGTGGTGCTGTGTTGTGATGGGTGGTGCTGTGATGTGATGGGTGGTGCTGTGTTGTGATGGTTGGTGCTGTGTTGTGATGGGTTGTGCTGTGTTGTTATGGGTGGTGCTGTGTGTGTGATGGGTGGTGCTGTGTGTGATGGGTGGTGTGTGCTGTGTTGCTGGGTGATGGTGGTGCTGTGTTATGATGGGTGGTGCTGTGTTATGGGTGGTGGTGCTGTGTTGTGATGGTGGTGCTGTGTTATGATGGGTGGTGCTGTGTTATGGGTGATTGGTGGTGCTGTGTTGTGATGGGTGGTGGTGGTGCTGTGCAGTACTGTGAAGGATGGTGCTGTGTGCTGTGTTGTGATGGGTGGTGCTGTGTTGTTATGGGTGGTGCTGTGTTGTGATGGGTGTGGTGGTGCTGTGTGATGGGTGGTGGTGTGATGTGATGGGTGGTGCTGTGTGTGATGGTGGTGCTGTGTTATGGGTGGTGGTGCTGTGTTGTGATGGTGGTGGTGCTGTGTTGTGATGGGTGGTGGTGTGTTGTTATGGGTGGTGCTGTGTTGTGATGGGTGGTGCTGTGTGTGGATGGGTGGTGCTGTGTTATGATGGTGGTGCTGTGTTATGGGTGGTGCTGTATTGTGATGGTGTGGTGTGAAGGATGTGTTGTGATGGTGGTGAGTGGTGCTGTGTTATGGGTGGGTGGTGCTGTGTTGTGATGGGTGGTGCTGTGTTGTGATGATTTGTGCTCTGTTGTGATAGATGGTGCTGTCTTGTGAAGGATGGTGCTGTGTTGTGATGGGTGGTGCTGTGTTGTGATGGATGGTGCTGTGTTGTGATGGGTGGTGCTGTGTTGTGATGGGTGGTGCTGTGTTGTGATGGATGGTGCTGTGTTGTGATGGGTGGTGCTGTGTTGTGATGATTTGTGCTGTGTTGTGATGGGTAGTGCTGTGTTGTGATGGGTGGTGCTGTGTTGTGATGGTTGGTATATTGTTGTGATGGGTGGTGCTGTGTTATGATGGTTGGTGCTGTGTTATGATGGGTGGTGCTGTGTTATGATGGGTGATGCTGTGTTGTTATGGTGCTGTGTTGTGATGGGTGGTGTTGTGTTGTAATGGGTTGTGCTGTGTTATGATGGTTGGTGCTGTGTTATGATGGGTGGTGCTGTGTTATGATGGGTGGTGATGTGTTATGATGGTTGGTGCTGTGTTGTGATGGGTGGTGCTGTGTTGTGATGGGTGGTGCTGTGTTGTGATGGGTGGTGCTGTGTTATGATGGTTGGTGCTGTGTTATGATGGGTGATGCTGTGTTATGATGGGTGGTGCTGTGTTATGATGGGTGGTGCTGTGTTGTGATGGGTGTTGCTGTGTTATGATGGTTGGTGCTGTGTTATGATGGGTGGTGCTGTGTTATGATGGTTGGTGCTGTGTTATGATGAGTGGTGCTGTGTTGTGATGGGTGGTGCTGTGTTATGATGGGTGGTGCTGTGTTGTGATGGGTAGTGCTGTGTTGTGATGGTGCTGTGTTGTGATGGATGGTGCTGTGTTGTGATGGGTGGTGCTGTGTTGTGATGGGTGGTGCTGTGTTGTGATGGGTGGTGCTGTGTTGTGATGGATGGTGCTGTGTTGTGATGGGTGGTGCTGTGTTGTGATGGGTGGTGCTGTGTTATAATGGGTAGTGCTGTGTTGTGATGGGTAGTGCTGTGTTGTGATGGTGCTGTGTTGTGATGGGTGGTGCTGTGTTGTGATGGGTGGTGCTGTGTTGTGATGGTGCTGTGTTGTGATGGGTGGTGCTGTGTTGTGATGGTGCTGTGTTGTGATGGTGCTGTGTTGTGATTGGTGGTGCTGTGTTGTGATTGGTGGTGCTGCGTTATAGTGGGTGGTGTTGTGTTATGATGGGTAGTGCTGTGTTATGATGGGTAGTGCTGTGTTGTGATGGTGCTGTGTTGTGATGGTGCTGTGTTGTGATGGTGGTGCTGTGTTGTGATGGGTGGTGCTGTGTTGTGATGGTGGTGGTGTTGTGATGGGTGGTGCTGTGTTGTGATGGGTGGTGGTGGTGCTGTGTTATGATGGGTGGTGCTGTGTTGTTTCTGATGGTGCTGTGTTGTTTCTGATGGTGCTGTGTTGTTTCTGATGGTGCTGTGTTGTTTCTGATGGTGCTGTGTTGTGATGGTTGGTGCTGTGTTGTGATGGTGGTGGTGTTGTGATGGGTGGTGGTGCTGTGTTATGGGGGTGGTGCTGTGTTATGGGTGGGTGATGCTGTGTTGTGGGTGGTGCTGTGTGTGTGATGGGTGGTGTTGTGCTGTGTTATGGGTGGGTTGTGCTGTGTTATGATGGTTGGTGCTGTGTTATGGGTGGTGGTGCTGTGTTATGATGGTGGTGGTGCTGTGTTATGAGGTGGTGGTGCTGTGTTGTGACGGGTGGTGCTGTGTTATGATGGGTGGTGCTGTGTTATGATGGTGGTGGTGCTGTGTTGTAATGGGTGGTGCTGTGTTATGGGTGGTGGTGCTGTGTGTTATGGGTGTGGTGGTGGTGCTGTGTTATGGTGGTGGTGGTGCTGTGTTATGATGGTGGTGCTGTGTTGTGGGTGGGTGGTGGTGCTGTGTTATGATGGGTGGTGCTGTGTTGTGATGGGTGGTGCTGTGTTATGGGTGGTGGTGCTGTGTTATGGGTGGTGGTGCTGTGTTATGGGTGGTGGTGTGGTGCTGTGTGCTGTGTGCTGTGTTATGGGTGGTGCTGTGTGGTGTGGTGCTGTGTTATGGGTGGTGGTGCTGTGTGATGGGTGGTGCTGTGCTGTGTTATGGGTGGTGGTGGTGTTGTGTTATGGGTGGTGGTGCTGTGTTATGGGTGGTGGTGGTGCTGTGTTATGTGTGGTGGTGCTGTGTTGTGGTGGTGCTGTGTTATGGGTGGTGGTGCTGTGTTATGGTGGGTGGTGGTGCTGTGTTGTGATGGGTGGTGGGTGCTGTGTTGTGGGTGGTGGTGTGTGTGTGTGATGGGTGGTGTTGTGATGGTGCTGTGTGGTGCTGTTATGGGTGGGTGGTGCTGTGTGATGGGTGGTGGTGGTGCTGTGTTATGAGTGGTGGTGCTGTGTTGTGATGGGTGGTGCTGTGTTATGATGGGTGGTGCTGTGTTATGGGTGGTGGTGCTGTGTTGTGATGGGTGGTGCTGTGTTATGGGTGGTGGTGCTGTGTTATGATGGGTGGTGCTGTGTTATGTGATGGGTGGTGCTGTGTTGTGATGGTGGTGGTGCTGTGTTATGATGGGTGGTGCTGTGTTATGATGGGTGGTGCTGTGTTATGGGTGGTGGTGGTGCTGTGTTGGGTGGTGTGCTGGGTTATGGTTGGTGGTGGTGCTGTGTTATGGGTGGTGGTGGTGCTGTGTTATGGGTGGTGGTGGTGCTGTGTTATGATGGGTGGTGTGGTGCTGTGTTATGGGTGGGGTGGTGCTGTGTTATGATGGGTGGTGCTGTGTTATGATGGGTGGTGCTGTGTGTGTGATGTGGTGGTGGTGCTGTGTTATGGGTGGCTGTGTGGGGTGGTGCTGTGTTGTGTTATGGGTGGTGGTGCTGTGTTATGATGGTGGTGGTGCTGTGTTATGGGTGGGATGGGTGGTGCTGTGTTATGGGTGGTGGTGCTGTGTTATGATGGGTGGTGGTGCTGTGTTATGGTGCTGGTGTGATGGTGCTGTGTTATGATGGGGTGGTGCTGTGTTATGGGTGGTGGTGCTGCTGTTTATGATGGGTGGTGGTGCTGTGTTATGGATGGGGTGGTGCTGTGTTATGATGGGTGGTGCTGTGTTATGGGTGGTGTGGTGCTGTGTGGGTGGTGTGGTGGTGGTGTTGTGTTATGGGTGGTGCTGTGTTGTGATGGGTGGTGCTGTGTTGTGTGGGTGGGTGGTGGTGCTGTGTTATGGGTGGTGGTGCTGTGTTATGATGGGTGGTGGTGCTGTGTTATGATGGTTGGTGCTGTGTTATGATGGGTGGTGCTGTGTTATGATGGGTGGTGCTGTGTTTGTGATGGGGTGGTGCTGTGTTATGGTGTGGTGGGTGTGTGCTGTGTTATGGGTGGTGCTGTGTGTGTGATGGGTGGTGGTGCTGTGTTATGGGTGGTGGTGGTGCTGTGTTATGATGGGTGGTGCTGTGTTATGATGGGTGGTGCTGTGTTATGGGTGGTGGTGCTGTGTTATGATGGTGTGGTGCTGTGTTATGGGTGGTGGTGCTGTGTTATGATGGGTGGTGCTGTGTTATGATGGGTGGTGCTGTGTTATGATGGTGGTGGTGCTGTGTTATGATGGTGGTGCTGTGTTATGATGTGGTTGCTGTGTTATGATGGTGTGGTGCTGTGTTATGATGGTGTGTGTTATGCTGTGGTGGTGCTGTGTTATGGGTGGTGCTGTGTTATGATGGGTGGTGCTGTGTTATGATGGGTGGTGCTGTGTTATGATGGTGTGGTGCTGTGTTATGGGTGGGTGGTGCTGTGTTATGATGGGTGGTGCTGTGTTATGATGGTGGTGGTGCTGTGTTATGATGGGTGG